CGTCGTCCGCGTCATCGTCCTCCTCGCAGTGATGATCGTCATCATCCTCGTCGTCGTCGTCGTCGTCCTCGTCGTCTGAGGGAATTTCTGCCCACCCCCGTGGGGGCAGAAATTCCTTCACTGTCTCTCGTCGCCGTCGTCGTCGTCGTCCTCGCCGTCCTCCTCGCTTCGTCGTCGTCGTCGTCATCGTCGTCGTCGTATTCGTCGTCGTCGTCATCATCACCATCCTCATCATCAGCAGCATCATCATCACCATCGTCATTGCCATCATCATCATTATCACCATCGTCGTTGTATTCGCGTCCTCATCATCATCACCACCGACACCATCATCATCATCATCATCATCATCATCATCACCAATCATCATCATTATCATCATCATCGTCGTCGTCGTCATCATCGTCCCTCCTGGACCCACCCAATCTCCGTGAGACTGCTCAGCTGCGGGCGCGCCGTGCCCTTCTCGCACGGGTAGAAGCCGTAGTGCGGGATCTGGAAGCCTGCAGGGATCCAGGGAGGAGGACGCGAGGGAGGTGTGATCAAGGGAGCTGCCAAACACAGTTTAACAGGAAAGGTCTTAAGACGGAGCGGCGAGAAAGAGAGGGAGGAGTGAGCGGAGTGGGAGGAAGTGAGAGGAGTGAGAGGATGCGGGAAAATGTCGATAAGATGGAGCGAAGAAGGGACAGAGCGGCCGACTCCCCGTCGTCGCCAACGTCGTCGTATAGCCATCGTGATCGCATCGTCGTCGTCGTCGTCGCCGTCGTAATCGCCATAATCATCATCATCATCACCATCATCATCATCATCATCATCGTCGTCGTCGTCGTAATCGTCGTCATCGTCATCGTCGTAAGCGTCGTCGTCGTCATCATCACCACCGCCACCATCATCACCACAATCATTATCGTAACTGCCAGCACCAACGCAATAACCATCATCATCGAAATCACCACCATCATCATCAGCACCGCCATCGCCGTCGTCATCATCATCATCATCATCATTATAGCCGTCGTCATCGCCATCACCATCAACATCATCATCATTAGCATCATTAGTATCATCATCGTCCTCGTTGGCTGCCTCCTGGACTCATCCTCCTTCTCCTCCTGTCGATCTCTACCTGCTCCCTCCTTTCCCTCCCCCATCCTGTCCCTACTCATCCTTTCCCTCCCCTCCTCCTCCCTGTCCCCGCTGTTCCTCCCTCATCCTCATCCTTCTACCCGAATCTTCCCCCTCGGGCGGGTAGCGGCGCCCTCGATCATGGGCATCCCGTCGACACTCGTGTTGCGCGTCATGGCCTGACGCCGCGCTCTCTGCCCTCCTCTCCCCCTCCTTTCCCTTACACACTAAAACTCTACGATCCGCTCACTGGGCCGCAGCTCGACCCAATTCCTCCTCGTCCCCCCTCCAACATCCCTCCCCCTTCTTCCTCCCACTCCCTCTCCAAGTTCCTTCCCCTTTATTCTTCCGAGTCCTCTGCCCCCCCCCCCCCCCCCCTAGCAATAGCCCGCGCCTCCGCCGCCTCATCAGCCGTCGCGCTGGCCGTCTTGTGGTGGCGGGGCGGCTTGCGCGACATCGCGAGCGCCTCTCGGGGCGCGCGCGCAGGGCGACGAGGGGGGCGGGGGGCTGGGAGAGGAGGAGGAGGAGGAGGAGGAGGAGGAGGAGGAGAAGGGAGGGAGAGAAGGAGTAGGAGGGGGAGGAGGGAACGTCGACGAGGAGGGGGGAGGAAAAAGAGGGAGGAGGAGGAAGCGGAGGAGGAGGGAAGAGGAGGAGGAAGAGGACGACAACGACAACCAGGAGGACGCTCAAGGAAGAGATGCGGATCGAGGCTCGAGGCCTCGTGCTGTTTCACCAAGCTCATGTGGCATTTATACCGCCATGCGAACTCGCGCCGCGCGGCTCGGCACGTGCGCTTCGGCGGCCTGAACCCCGCCCAGCACTCCGACTTGTAGTCCGAAAGCACATGCGGGCGCGGGACGTCCTATACGAAGCGGGATCGAGAAGGAGAGATCACGACAACGATCGACATCGAGGACGAGACGGGGAGAGAGGAAGAGGGAAGGAAGGGGGGGGAGGAATTGGCATAGGAGGAGGAGGAGGAGGAGGAGGAGGAGGAGGAGGAAGAGGAGGAGGAGGAGGACGAGGACGAGTCCTCGGGGCACCACGCAGGCACCCCGACGGCGTCGAACGCCGCGTCAATCCGGCCGACGATCACCCGAGCGGTGGCGTCGAGGTCCTCGGCCGAGATATCGAGCTCCCCGCCGACGGGGTTCATGTCGACATGCCTCGCGGGCGGCCGCGTCGTGTCCGTGAGTTCTGGCACGACCGCACTCGAGGTGCCGTGCATAATATGCCCCGATATATCGGCGGGCAGCTCGATATCTCGAAGGAGGACCTCGAGGCCATCGTGCCAGGGCTCGTCGTTCGACCCGCCCCCTTCCCCCCGCGCGGCCTGCAGGGCCGCGGCCGCGCCGCGCGCGCGCGGAGGCGCGGGGCCTCGGGCCTATAGGCGCGGCGCGCGAGCGAGGCAGCGCGCGGGGCAAGCTCTCGCTGGGGTGGAGGAGGAGGAAGGAGGAGGAGGAAGGAGGAGGAGGAGGAGGAAAGGGGGAGGGGAGGAGGAGGAGGAAGAGGAGGGAGGTTTTTTGTTGGGTCTTACGTGGAAGTGCATGTCCAAGTTGCGATACATGTTGTACAAGTTTATGTTGTCGGCAGTTGACATCGTAACATCGTCCAACGACCCAGCCGAAATATCCGAAATCCGAAATCAAATCCGAACCCAAAAATCAATACATAAGAGCGGTTTCAATTAAATTAGGGCCTGTGGATGTCAGGGCATGTGCCTGGTCCAGCGCGCGCGGTGCCCCCGGGGAGGGGTTGCGGTTTTGCCAGATTGTGAGGACGCTTCAGAGCGAAACGCCCCTCCACATCCTTCCTGATCCCTCTCTCATTTCAACCCGCGCCCCCTCAGGTGCACACTGCCGGCGCCAGCGCGAAGATAAGAGGCACCTGGGGGGCGCCCCGTTCCGCGAATCCCACTGCAGAGCGGGGATCTCGACCCCCCAATGGGACTCGTGGAGCGGGGGGGGCCGTGGGGGGCCCAAACATTTTTTTGCGCGGGGGCGGCTGCCCCGTTCCCTCGGATGGGCACAGCCCCCCCCTCGCCGGCCTCCTCTCCTTGATCCCTCCTCCTAACGTAACGCGCCCGCTTTAAGTTAGTGCATATGATGCATTTCCATTCTTGGGACCGACCATGCTTTCCTGGCGGTAGTCTGGCGAGATCTGCTGGTTGTTGGAGGAAGTAAATGCGATCGGGGCCCACGGCTTTATACAATTGCGTTGAGTTATGCAAGCGGCTCCGCCGTTCCGCCCCGAAGCGCAAGGCCGCGCCTTCCTCAGGCTCGCCTCGGGAAGGCGCGACCCAAAGGCTGGTCATTGACGTTCATTGCCCACCCGACGCCCGGAGCCAACGGTAGGCCACTTCGTGCTCTTCGAGTTCCCCGAATTCCATTCCCGGGCCACAGTTTGAATGCCTCAAGCCAACTGTAGGCCACTTCGTGTTCTGGGGTCTTTGGCGCGCGCGGATTTCGCCAATGGCCCATGATGCGTTCCAGGTTGAAGGCAACGATGACGGCGACGGCCTCTCCTGAGTGTCCGCTGGACCCCCCGGCCGCGCCAGCGGTCAAAGGGGGTGCCCGGGGCAGGGCGTTCCAGGTTGAAGGAGACGAGGACGCCGACGACATCTAGTGAGTGTCCCGCGGGCCCCCCCTGGCCACGCCGGCGGTCAACTGGGGGGGGGGGGCGGCTAGGGCGCCCCAGGTTGAAGGCTACGACGACAGCGTCGGGCATTCCTCTGGCTGCGCCGCGCTGCGCAAGCCGAAGTCGCGCGCACACGCCCTTCGCGCCCTGTCGAGGCGCGGACATTAAAGACACTGCGGCCTCGGATCTGTCGCAAACCTGGGTTCCCTCCATGAGGGTTGCGGATCATGGGCGCGACAAGCGAGACTGAGCGTTGAGCGCGGTTCCGCCTAACAACACAAGTTCCGACGAAATGACAAGACAACATATGCCAACTCGGAGGGGGGGGGGGGGGGGGGCGTTAGGGCGTTCCAGGTCGAAGGCTACGACGACGGCGTCGGGCATTCCTCTGGCTGCGCCGCGCTGCGCAGGGCGACGTCGCACGTACACGATTGCGGCCTCAGATGTGTCGCAAGCCTGGGCCCCCTCCTTGACGGTTGCGGATCATGGGCGCGACAAAGAGACTGAGCGTTGAGCACGGTTCCGCCTAACATCACAAGCTCCTCAGAAATGAAAGAACAACATATGCCAACCCGGTCCTACAATCGGGCATCCGCTCCCTTGGGCCCTCCGCGGGCCTTGGGGCCGTCAACGGAACCCTTGCAGGCAGGCGCCACGATTTCTCCGGGCCGCAGACGGCATGACCCTGTGGGCTCTGCCTATGTGGTCACCCTGCCACAAAACACATGGCACGCACGCGTTCACATGCACGCACGCAGACAAAAAACATACAAGTCTAACGCAAAGCTCCGCCTAACAACACAAGCCCCGCTCCCGTGGACCCTCCACGGCCCCCTGCGCGCACCCTCCGTGGGGCCCGCCCTTCAAGGCAAGGCCTCTCTTTGGGAATCACCCTTCGGGTTCTGACGGGCGCTCCGTTCGGGCTCGCCTGGGGCTGCACGTTCCCGGGGTTCCGCTTGTTGCTCTCCTTGGGATTTCATGGAACCCCCGCCCTTCATGGCATGGCCTCTCTTTTAGCATCGCCCTTTCGTCTTTCTCGCTGTGGACACCCGCCCCCGCCCACGAACCACAAAACACTAATCCCTTTTGGCGTTCCGTACGTTCTTGCCTCTGGGCGTTCCGTAGGGCATTGGCTCCACCCACGAGTTCGGCTTCGGTTCGAGACGAGGCACGGCCGTCATGGCGCCCGGCGCTGCTCATCAGGCCCGCGCGCTTGCCAATGACGTCCGGGACTGGCAGAAAAAGAACAGAACGATGCGTGCACCAACGCAGTCCAAGGCAGCAGCGCCTGCTGAAAAGGTCTGGCGGCGGACCGATGGGGGCCACGGGGAGGGGGGAGGGCTTCACAGAAGGCAGGGGTCTTCCTCGGAGCCCCCCCGAGGGATTTTCCAAAGCCTCCGACGGCTTCTCGGAAGCACCCCGCCTTCGCGAGACCCTCCCCCCTCCCCCTTGCCCCCTCGGCGCGCCGCCGACAGGCGCTGGCTAAGCGACTGAGCACGGTCATCGGCCTTGCGAAGAAAAACGACGTGGCAGACGAAGTGTTCCTAGTCCTCCGGGAGATCCCAGGTGTGGGCGCGAACCTGCCAACCGGGACTGCCAGTTTAGCACGTCGCCTCGCCAGGGAAACCGCTGCGTGGCAGGAGCGTGCTGGGTGCCAGCGCATGCCGGGCGAATCGACTGGCGCCACCGAGGAGGAACGCAGGCTGGCGTACAGGCTTCGGAACATCATGCCTGCGTACCACGCTGGCGATCTCCCCGACGAGGACCGCCAAACTTTGGAACGCCTCCCGGGCTTTGCGGCCAGCCTGGAAAGTGCCGCCGCCCGTCTCGCCAGGGACACTGCTGCTTGGCAGGCGCGCGTCGGGTGCCAGCGCATGCCGGGCGAATCGACTGGCGCCACCGAGGAGGAACGCAGGCTGGCGTACAGGTTTCGGAACATCATGCCTGCGTACCACGCTGGCGATCTCCCCGACGACGACCGCCAAGCTTTCGAGCGCCTCCCGGGCTTTGCGGCCAGCCAAGACAGTGCCGCTGCCCGTCTCGCCAGGGACACCGCTGCCTGGCAGCGCCGTGCCGGGTGCCAGCGCATGCCGGGCGAATCGGCCGGGGCCACCGAGGAGGAGTGCCGGCTGGCCCGCTACTGGCGGAACATCATGCCTGCTTATGTCGCGGGTGACCTCTCTCCGGAGGACGAGGCGGTCTTCGCTGAGCTCCCAGGGTTCAACGCGTTCGCGGCATGGCGCCAGGCTTCGCCGGGGGAGCGCCTCCGACAGCGGGAGGAGAGGCAGCGCGACAAGCGCGCCGCCAAGTCAAGAGCCGAACAGGCGGCCTCGCAGCAGCGGCGCGCACTCTTGTCCGCCATCCCCGGCCGCAATCAACGGCGTCTTCCTGAGAGCGAGCGCATGCTGCACGGTGCCTCCTCGACCGCTGCTGCGCGCAGGGACGCTGTTTTCCAGCGGGCGGCGGAGGTGGACGACTACCTCCAGTCGCTGCGGTTCTCTGCTTGCGACTACTGCGAGAGAGGATGGTGGGGCACGACGCGGCGTCCGCCTGCTGGCTCTTCCACTACCGACATCCAGGATAAGTACATGAACTTCATCCTCGCGGACGAGGAGGAGTGGCTGGACCCGCGGAGGCCAATGTCCGTGCAGTGCTCCCAGGACGTGCAGGCAGCAGCGCGCAGGGCGGCCGACATCGGCGACTCTCCCCCGACCACGCCTCGGCTGCTCACGTCGTTCAACGACATGACGTTTGGGCGCACTCACGAGGCGCTCGACGCCCTGACCTACTTCGAAGAGCAGCTGCTGTCTCCGATCCAGCCCGTGGTGCGCATCTTCACTCTGTATGGCACTGGGCTCACTGAGGCACGTGGTCACGTCGCGAACTGGGTCCAGAATGGGCCTGAGCTTGTTCGCGCCATTCCCTTGAAGGCGGGTGACGCCAAGATTCTGCTCGTCCGCCGTTTCCCGAAGGATCCCCAGCGGAAGCAGCGGGCCCCCTTTGTTGTCAGCCGCCAGCGACTGGAGGCAGCGTTGCAACAGCTCCTGAAGCCGGAGGATCAGGGTGGGCATCGCGCCTTCCAACGCAATCGCCTCGTGCGCAATGGCCTCGCGCCTGTGAACTGGGACAACTTGAGCGCGTACGACGACACGGGCAGGGAACCAGAAGGCATGGAGGTCAAAGTGGTCGAGCAGCACGGGCCGCTCTACCTCGACAAAGCCCTGCTTGGGAAATGGACGGCCCTCAACTTGGAGCTCCAACTCAACGGCCAGGTGCGCCACTTCTTGGATGGCATCCCCCCGCCGGACCCGCGATCCGACGCCGATGCCGAGCATTCCTGGGAGGAGCGGGCATGGCCGTGGCTGTGCAAATTCGCGCGTGACGCCATGCTCCAACGACAGCCGCCTGCTCGCGATGGCCAGGACATGACTCCCGACAGGAGCCCCGATGGCGCCCGCCCTCCACCCCCTGCTGTCGACCAGGAGCCGCCGCCCAGTGCCGACGCCAAGGTGTTGAGCGACACGGCCCTGGCATGCTGGCTGCGAACGTGGGCACGGTGGTCCGGGTGGGAGGACAACGCCGACGTCCTGCACGTGCTCCGAGACGAGCTCACTGCGGTCCAGGAGGTGGACGCCCTCCGGCACAATGCCGCCGAGCATTCCGGAACGTGGGACCCGGAGAACCCTGGCGCCAAGCGCTCCGAGGAGGAGCTCCTCGATGAGTTTTGGGAGGAGCTGGTCGAGGAACACGGGGGCCTCGCTGAGCAGACTCCGCCCTTGCAGGCGGCTGCGGGGACGGCCGCTGCCGCGCCTCCGCGACCGACCGCGCCTGTACGCCTTGCTCCTGACCGGCAGCAGGCTCCGCCGCAGCCGGCGGCAGGACTCGGCGGCGCTATGGCGTGGGCGGGGGGATTGGGGAGGGTTTCGTAGAATGCTCGGTGCTCTTTCGAAACCTTCCCAGGGCTTCTACGAAGCACCCTGCCTTCTACGGAGCCCCCCCCCCTGCCCCTGCCCCCCTCAGAGCGCCGCCGAAGGGCGCACGGAGCCGCGGCCTCCGGAGAGACAAGCGGACGAGACCTTCGACACCGCCAACATGGACCGTAGAGAGCGTGGCATTTGGGAGCGTTTCCAAGCAGCGCGGGCCAAAGGCGCCCCAATTCTGGACCCTCCTGCTTTGGCCGACACGCGACAGCTGGTGCGAGAGGACACGCCTTGGTACATCAGCGCGGCCTTCGTGAAGATCTTCCAGACGGGGGAAGGCGACTTCTGGGCTTACGAGAGGGCCCGCAGAGAGCGAGGTCTGCCAGTCTCCTTGCATGCATGGGTCCAGCATGTCCTGCGAGGGCGAGATGGCCGGGCATTGCGCCACCCCCGCTTCTTCTACTTCGCCGTGAACACGCTGCTGCGCAATAAGGCTGTCCGCGGTAAAAGTTGTTGTGAAGCAGTCCTACGGGGACCAGGCGTACCAAGAGTACGCGCCGCAGCAGCTTCTTCACATGGGCAAAGCTGGCATGACCCGCGTCCTGTGCGCCTACGAGACGAATCTTCCTGGATCTGCGGCCGAGAAGCTGTCGCAGCGGCCTGACCTCGAGTCCATGCTTAACCAGCTCGAGGAAGAGAGCGCGCAGCAGGCTGCGGAGCAAATGCCTTCTCGCAGTGCCAGCTTGACCACTCTGACCAACACCGTGGACCGGTGGCACCGGGACTACCTGAGCGCTTCTGGGAACCAGTCGGACGAGGCGGTCGAGCAGGCCCTGCGGCAGGCTCGGCGTGAACTCGCACAGTGGCCCGCTGCCCCGCAGGCCCCGGCGCCGCCGGGCATGCCCCTAGCCGGGGAGGCCGGCGCTGCCGCCACGGTCCAGCGCAGCGCGGCGGACCTCCTCGCTGAGCGAGCTCCGCTACTGCATTCTTTTCAGGAGGCCATCGAACAGCACGCCCGGTACCGCAGAGATGCGGAACAAGGTGGGTGCATTCCCGCGCACTTTATCACGCTCACTACTGCCATATACCACTGGTCGGACTTGGCGCATGTGCTCGACGAGTTTGAGACTCAGACGACCTCCTATCGACATGGCCGCTGTGACCCCCTGGAACCCGGCGAGGGGGCGTTGACAGACGGGAAGCGGCGAGTCCTGCAGCACCCTGGCGTGGTGGCGTGGTTCTGCGCGCTGAAGCTGCACTTGTACGCGTCGTACGTGCTCGCTTACGACGACTTGTTCGGTGTCTTTGAGTGGGGCTCTGGCGGCATCCTGCACATGCACATGCTTGGGTGGCGATTCCCTGGCTTCGGCCGCTACGACTACCTGCAGGGGGACGTCCCGCAGACGCAGCGCCGCGAGGATGCGAGGGCCATGGCTTGGCAGCACGGCGCCGAGCTATCCGAGTGGAACCCTTCCCGGCTCGACCATTGGGATACTGCAGGTGGATTCGACGAAGACCTCACTCCCGAAAACCCAGCGACAGAGTATGGTCCCGTCCCCGTCACGGATGCTTCTGACTCTGACCACGATGGCTGTGGCGCGGGAGCGGCCGCGGAGGAACCGCCCACCGCAGCGGAGACGGCCGGCATGGCCCGCCTCCGTGCTCTGCTGCAGGACCCGACGTGGCACCCCAGTTCTCTGCCGATGGATCTAAAACGGATGCTGCTCACGTCGCGCTCGGTGCTCGTGCGACGCATGCGCCGGTGGTACTACGCAGCCCTCCTCACCAAGACCCACATGCACGACCGCCACTCTGGCGAGCCGGTGACGCTGCAGCCTGTTTTCGGCGATGACCCTGCCACGGATTCTTCGGATAGTGGGCGCGACGGGCCTGACCTGAAGGGGGGGGGCGACGTCTGTACTGAAGTGCGGGTGCTGTCCTGGAACACAAATTTGGCAACCGAGTGTTCTTTTGTCGTGTCGGCTGCCGACGAGTCGGACGTCCTGCGCCTGCAAGAGGCCACCTCCGCGTCCGCAGCGTGGTTGCAAGCTCAGCTGCAAGACACGTTCGACGTCATCACCCCGACGACATGTGGGGGCGCCTGGGATGCTGAGGGCCACGGCGTCGTCATCGCAGTGCGCACATCGATGTTCGAGGTCTGCGCGACCCGGTTGCGCAATTTACCATCTGACCAACAGCGGGTGCTCTTGACGGTTCGTCTCCGTGCACGCGACACGCACTTGGTGATGCTGGTGGCGACTGCCCACTTGGAGTCTGGGGCTGACCTGTCGGACGCTCGCCGCGCGCAGCTGGGTGAAGTCGTGGACCTGCTTCGCGACCCTGGCGCGGACGCTGCCGTGTTCGCCGCTGACTGCAACCTGCGCAGAGACGAGAACATTGCAGCGTTGCAAGTCCGAGGGCTCGGCGAAGACGTCTGGGAGCTTTCCGGGTCGCCACGAGACCAACGGTGGACATGGCTGGGCCCCCAGGCCAGGGGCGGCCAAACCGACCCCTAGCAAACCATACCCTTCCGTGACGCCCCCCTCGCGCCGCTCCACGGCGTACGTGTGCGCCGAGGGGGGCGACGCGGAAAGGTACGGTTCGCCAGGGGTCGGCTTGGCCGCGCCCGACCAGTGCCCTCCTCCTGGGCGCGACGCACCGGCCGCGGCCCGGGCAGCGCCGCAGCGTTTCGACCGGATTTTCTTGCAGGGGCGCCAGGCCGCATCGCATCGGGCAGGGCCGCGGGGCCATAGCCTGCAGCTTTGCGAGGGCACGTTCGTTCTTCACGACACAGTGCTCTCAGACCACCGAGGAGTGCAGTGCGCAGTGCGACTCGCACAGGCTCGGGAGACTCAGCGGAGGAAGAGAATCCAGGCCGTCGGACAGCCTTTGCGAGCCGGGGTGCGAGCTCGCGTGGGGACCCGGGGCATGGCCCGCAGACCGGCCAGGTGCGAGGCTTGCGCCAAAATCGAGCCTCACACTGAGCACAACGAGGGAGGCCCGAGCTACTACTGCGGCAAGCACTTCGAGAAGGCCCGGATCCGCACAGGAGATGCGGCCATACTCGAGGACGAGCGCCGCAAGGGCCTGTGGCGGCTGCACTTGCCCAGAAATTGTGCCCACGTCAACAGTCACATCGTGGCTCTGGCAATTGCGCTTGGAGCCAACACTGACGGGCAGCCCATTCTGACGGCCAAGGGCGTCGCTGATTACGTCTGCAAGTACATCACGAAGTACGGAGCCGGAATGTCCGTTTCTGCGAGGATCGCGTCGCTGCTCGACGACATCGAGACACGTGTTCCTGAGGGGAAGACGATGACTGTGGCCTCCCTCTTGGCCAAGGCCTTCATCGCGACTGCCGTGCCTGAGTCTCTGTGTTGCTTGGAGGCGTGGCATATCCTCTGGGGGTTGCCCCGTACGGTTTCTTCGCGCTACTTCCGGGGCCTCAATGTGGACGGTTTGACAGGCGTCAAGCAGCCCGCCGAGGTCAAGCCTCAGCAGCAGCAGGGCCCGGCAGGGGAGGAGGACCTGAGGAGGTCGGTATGAGACTCTGGCGGTTGGCCTTTGGGGGGCCTCCTCGTTGCAACGGCTGGACGCAGCACGGGGGACTGATGCTTCGAGGGCCCCGTGAGGGGTCCAGGGGCCCACTTTGAGCTGCCAGTGTCTCGCACCGCCCTGCTCCGAGAGGACGCCGGCGACGAGGCCCCCAAGATCACCAAGACCACTGTCGTCGCCCGGTACTGCAACCGGATGGATATGGTCTGCCACCCCCCGCAGCTGCACGCGGCGCTCTCCCACTACACGTTGTTGCGCTTCAGTGCCGAGGTTGACCAAGACCGCCAGGGAGCTCTGCGCGCTCGCCGCGGAAGGCCGCGCGTCATGAACTTGAAGCCTTACTTATTTGCAGCTCGACGTCACGAAGCCGACGGCGGCGAAGCGCGCGAAGATGTCGCTTCGCATGCTCCGGCCTTGGCAGGGCTACGCTGAGGATCAGAGGAGGGCTGTTTGCGACACTGGCACCTGGCCTCCGGGGGAGCCCCTCGTCCCCACGGCTGGACGCAGCACCCCTCGTCCCAGCGGCTGGACGCAGCACGGGAACTTGTCGCGCTCGGGCCCCAGGTCCAAGAATTCGTTTTCAAGTTTCCTGCTCTCCACGCCGGCACTGGTCGTTGGCCTCCTGGGGGGATGGGCCTCGTCGCCGCGGTTGGACGCAGCGCGGCCGACTGGTGCGCTTCGACCCCGGATGGGGGTCTGGGACCCCGGCAGGTCTCGGGAACGGACCCTCAGTTTCAAATGTCGCACACCGCCTTCCTCCGACAGGACCCCATGACTTTCGGCGACCAGGACGCCATGCAGCAGTTGGAGTCATTTCCTCGTTTCGCGCATTCCGCCGGCCCCCATGGGAAGCCTCCTGGGCCGTCTTCGGGCCGTCCCTGGGTTGTGGGCCAGGGTCCTCGTCCTGGGTGTCCCTGGGGGTCTTCTCGGCGGGTTCTGGGGACCCCTGGGGAGCGGTCTGGGGCCTCTGGCCCAGGACAAAAAATAATCTCTGACCCGAGTTGCCCGGGAGTGTCCTGGGAGTGTCCCAGGAGTCGCCCGACAGTCCCCCGGGGCAATTCTGGTCCAGGGGCCCCCCAAGAGCCGCCCCGCGCGCGCAACGTGAACGCGTGTAGGGGACACGCAGAGCTGGGCCCGACCAAACCGTATGTATGCCCCGGGGAGATGCTGTGACGTTAGCCCCGCCGGCCTCATCGGCCACGCGGCCGGGACACGATAGCTTGCACTTGGAGCCCGTGCGGACTGTGGCCCCTCGTGTTTTTCGACCCCTGTTTCTCGGTCGGTCCTTTCGTTCGGCCTCGTCTTGGGTCCTGGGTTTGCCGTCCCTCGTCCCCTTTCGGTCCCTCTCGTGGGCCCTTCGCTCGCCGTTCGTCGGTTCTTCTCGCGGAGCTGAGGAAAAAAAATCCCGAAGATCTTCGCGCGCCTCTGGCCCGCTGGGCTGGCGGATTCGTTCAGAGCCCCGGCGCGCCACGGTGGTTTCGCAAGCGCTTCCAGCATCATAACCGTGACCGGCGGGCGCGGACAACTGCCCGAGGCGCTGGCCCCGGCACTGCCCCGGCGGAGCCGCCGCCTCCCCCGGCAAACGAGGTACCTCCCAGGCGCTCCTCCGATGCAGCCGCGACGGCCGCATCCAAGGTCGATGCGGTGCGCGCCCATGGGCTCCTCTGGGACCGCGACCCCAACAACCCGGCTTGGTCTGTGAGGGAGGCTCTGCAGCACGCGCGGGCGAAACCCCATCAGAGGTGCCTCAGAGACATGTTGACGGCGCTGCAGGCCGTCGACGGCCCGCTGCCACGCACGCGCACTGCTCTGGTCGAGGCGCTCGTTCTGCACATTCTTTCCGTCGATCTGGAAGATTTCTCCCGGAACAAGCGGGGCGTCATGAACAAGAAGGGCCTGCCCAAGTGCGCCCTCGACAACGCAGCCCAGGCGTGGCGGGGCCACCACAAGAGCGCTGCTCGCGCAGAGGCCGCCAAGGCGCTGGCCCCGGCCAAGCCGTTTGCACCGTTGTGGAATTCCTTCAAACGCGTGGTGCTCGGAGAGCGCGGGCTGCGCGTGGTCACCGCGCCGTCGCGGAGGGTGTACTTCTCTGCTCCCCACTCGAGGCCCGCGGGCCCCCGCGAGCCGGAGAGGGACGGGCGCTGGCGCGAGCCCGTGACGGCACCTTCGGCCTGGCAGCCGGCGCCAGAGGACGCTGAGAATGCGCGTGATCGGCAAGTCGCCCGCACTTTTGTGCGCAGTGCTGCTTATGAGCAGAGCATGGGCGGCGCCGGCGCGCAACCGGGGTTCGAGGTGCCCGTGCCCGAGGACGACGAGGCTCTTGAATGCCCCGACAAAGGCACCAAGTCCGAGTGGGATGCTTTGTGGCCGGTCGAGCACTTGGTCAAGAGACAGGGCATTGGCCGCGCTTCCGACTTCGCCAACACCGACGCCAGCCTCTCTTGGGTGAAGCCCGCCAGGGAGGGCGGCGCCTCAGCTGCAGACTACGCCGCTGCCATGCGCGAGCACCCGAATCCGGCGGCCGCGCAGGAGGCACCCGTAGGCTTGGACGACTTGGACCCAACGCAGCGCGCTTTTGCTGACATAGTGCTGTCGTGGGCGAGTGCGCCGTCCGGCGAGCTGTTTGCCATGCTCCTCGGCACGGCGGGCACCGGCAAAACGACCACCTTGCAGGCAGTGTTGGCGTGCCTGCGACAGCGAGGCGCCAGTTTCGGCAAGGTAGTTGTTGCCGCGTTCACTGGAGTCGCCGCCAGCAACGTCGGCGGCGGCGCCCGCACGCTCCACGACCTGTTCCAGCTTTCCCAGGTGAACGCAACTTCTGGCGAGCTCGCGCCTCTGAACGGCAAGGACTTGGAACAGCTCGCTGAGGACCTGGATGGCTTGCGTCTCCTGGTCATCGATGAGGTCTCGATGGTGTCTCGGCCGATGTTGGCCGGCGTTGACAGGCGCCTGAAGGAATGGCGGGCGTACCGGAAGCATCCCCGCAAGGAGGCCGCCTTCGGCGGAGTCGGCGTCATTCTCGCGGGGGACTTCGGCCAGCTGCCCCCCACCAAGGCTGAGCATGTCTCCCTGCTGTGCCCGAGTGTGTTGAGAGGTGCGTCCGCCAACCTCGGCTTGCGATTGTTCCGCAGCTTCACCGCCGTGGTGCGCTTGCGCAGGATCCACCGCCAGCCCGGGGCATCGCAGTACAAGGAGAGCCTGATTCGGCTCCGTGACGGGGCCATGACGAAGGAGGACCACGCCCTTTGGAGCACCCATGACCTTGCCGCCGACGCATGCACGCTATCCGCGGCGGAGCGCTCCAGCTTCGAAGGCGTCGCGCACCTGTTCGCCGAGAACGCGGGCGCTGGGGAGCGCAATGGGCTCATGGCCGCCCGCCTGGCCGACGCGGAGCACAGGCGCGTCCTCAGAGTTGCTTCTAAGGACAACACGGCAGCGGCATCACGGCAGCCATGCGACACGTTCGGCCAGCTTCGCAGGGTGATCCATCTTGTCCAAGGCTGCCCGGTGATGCTCATCTCCAATCTGCGAACGCCAGCTGGCTTGGTGAATGGGGCAACTGGCACACTCGTCGGCGCCGTGCTTGCCCGCGCCCAGGCAGGTGCGGACCTGCGAGGGGCAGTGTCGGCCTCAGACGTGACGTATGTTGTGGTGGACATTCCGAAGTGCAGGGGCCCTCTGATTTACCCCGGGCATCCGACGTGGGTTCCCATTGCGCCCATTACAGCGAGGCACAAGAGAATGAAGGGATGGGAGCGACTCCAACTGCCGCTTGTCCTGGCATGGGGGATCACCATCCACAAAAGCCAGGGGCTCACTTTCCCAGCCGGCGGGGTCGTCGACTTCGCCCACCACCCGAGCACGCAGCCCGTGGCCA